ACCCGATCCCCGGGCCCGAGACCAATTTGAATTCCAAAATCAAACCGATTCGTAAAATATTCAGAGCGAGCGCGACTAAATCAAAACCCTGTCGAAATAAAACGTTTGAAAATTGAATTTCGCTTTAGACCCGGCTCTGGCAAAATTGAATAGCATTTGTAACGGAAATGAAAATGGTTCAAGGGGGAGGAACTCGACAACAACAAACAAGACCCAAACTCTGGGTTTGAATTTAAATTAAGAAATTTATCTTTTCAATGGCTTTTGTGTATGTGTGGTGTGCCGTTGCTGCCACGCCTTGGCCTTTGTTGTTGCCCCAAAATGTAATTTTTTTTAACATCTCCCACCTTTTTTTAAGCCATAAAAGTAAATGATTTCGATTTCTTTGTTTTGGCAAGCGTTTTCGTTTCAAGTTCTTATCCGAAACTTGATATCTGATATGTTTCTTGAATTTTATAAATTTTAAATTTATTTATTTAATTTTGTAAAAAACGAGTCTTATGAAGTTATTAAAATTAGCCAATGAGATATATTAAATTGCGGCATTTTGCACCTTTTCATTTGAGCCTTCGATTCGGATGCTTTTAACGATTTGTAGTCGTTGTGGAGAGCAACGTTTTTAAGCGTTTTTGAAATGACTTTAACGGCCGACTTCATGGCTAATAAAAATTTGCATTGGTTGGCCGCAAAATATTTGTATTTCTGCTGGCCGAAACCAGATCGACTTTGGCCCAGACCTCGGCTACCATAAATTAGCCAGACCACAACTGCCACAGAATTTGCATACGAAATTACGCTTCTCAAAGATAAATACCTTAAATTGGTTGTTATTTAGAAGTCCATAACATAAATTCGAAAAGCAAATAATGCCATTTGTCAATAGGATTACGAATTCGGGGCTGCAATAATTTCACAGGTTTTATTGTCTCTCGGGCGTCTCAAAGGAGGAGACTCGACAATTTGTCGATAAAAATCATGAAATCATGTGCTAATGACTAAGCCTCAATTTTAATACCAAATTGGGAGTTTTTGTGGGAATCACTTTTTAAGTTTTAAGGCAAAAAAAAAAATAATTCCTCCACTTTTCATTTAATTTTCAATTACAAAGCTCTCACACAACAAATAAATTGGCCAGCAACCCTCAAGGACTCTCCGGCAGGACTGTCTCCATGGTTCCAAATTAAAAATTCCAAAAACGTTTCGGAGGTGAGTCCACATGCCGGAGTACATGAGTTTTATGTGCATTGTATATATTATTTATGGCTGCTGCCGGGTCTGTAATCAAAACTCGGATTCGGACGACATGAGAAGTCGGGAAGTGTGTCAGTGGGCTTCCAAAGGGGGTAAGGATACAGATTTGGGCCACTCGGACACAGCCCCCGGCCAATTTGTGAATTTTGTGCCATGTGTGTGGTGCAACGAAAGGGCCAAAACAAAAAGGGCAGAAAAAAAACCAGATACAGATACAGATGTAGGTGAAGAGCTTGACCGCCGGCCAATGACCGGACCCGGCTCGGGCTCCGGTTTTCCAAGGCCTGGAACACCACGGCTCGAGCAGCTCATTTGCATTTTCAGGAGCAGAGACAGGGAAAGTGTTTCGCCCTGAAAGCCCCTGGAAGTGACCGAGCTGGTATCTCTGGCATCGCCAGCCCCTCCTCACTCTGATGAGCTTGTTTTTTAATTTTAGTCACCAGTTGGTGTGTGTATGTTGGTTTTTCTAATTAACAAAGGCATTTTCCATTTCGTGAGTGCTTTTTTTTTTGGGAGTAATTTATAGTTTTTTATGCCGCCATTTGCTGCCGCCCGACCTTTTGACCTCTTTGAGCAGCATTTTCGGGGGATCTGAAAGTTGTGTCTATTGGTGGATGAATTATTCCGGAGCAGCGATAGTCATCTAATTAAATGAGTTATGGTCCCGGCATAACGCCGAATATCTCGCTCTCGGATAAGCGTTAGCCGCCTATTCCCGCCCCCGGGCCGGAACCCGGGCCCAACTGAAGCCCACAGATAGGACTCGAAAGCGGCAATTTATGAGCTCGCATTTTGCATAGTTTCAAATGGCCCAGAGCCCGAACTTGGACACAATTCATTTTCCAGGGCCACAAATCTCTCGTTTTGCATTCGGCGACCACAAATCATAGATGGCAGGCCGTTGGAGAGGTTGGAGGTTGCCATGTTTAAAGCGGCTTAAAAAAAGATACATTTTTAACCATGGTAATAGATGGATAGATTTTTGGAATTTGTCTAATATTTTTAAGGCCTTAAAAGTAGATAAATTTCTATGGAGGAAGTTGAGGAATATTTAGATGTTTTTAAGGCCTTGTTGCTCTTAAATTTTATGACAAAGTCTTTGGTATTGTTATTTATTATTATAGAACTATTCTTTTAAGAAAACCTGCAGAAAGTTCTGGACAAAATCCACTGTATCTCAAAAGTTAACCCGTTAAATGCATTGCCTCCTGCCGACCCTCGAGCAAATCCCAGTTTCGGGTTGCCGTTGAATGGCATCGGAATTTATGCACATTTTATTGACCATCACTGGGAGAAAAGAAGGGGCGGAGCAGAGTTGAAAGTTGTTGGGCCAACAACATGTCCGAAAGTGTTTTATGGCCGTTGTGGGCGCTCGAGTGGCCATTTTGGGTCGATCCGGGGATCATCGGAGCAGCGTCGAAGCAGGGAGTACGTGTGTGTTTCTGTGGCATACACATGCCAGTGCACTCCTCCATATGCACTCTCCCGACTTGTCCGACAACCACTTCTCCGCCACCAAGGAGGAGGCGACGAGGAACCCTGAATACAGATGAGCCGAGGCCCCAGATGAGTGCTGTACTAAATACTAAACACCCGCAACTCCAGTATTTGCAACTCTGCGAGCTCTGATTTATGGCTTCTGCCTCAAAACAAAAACCGCTTTAAGCTAAGCCAGGCCATCGGAATTAGTGGAAGTGGCTGTGGAAGAACCAGAGGCAGTGTCTGTGGCGGGGAAAGTCAACGACCTGCCACAAAACGATCCAAAGTCAAAAAGTCAATTATACGGATACCTAAAAATACATCGGAGGGCTGCAGGATGGAGTGGCGGTATGGAGTGGAAATCTCGTTAAAAGCCAATAACAGACGCCATTAAATGTGCATGAAAATTAAATGAAAACGGCTTGATGAGGCTGCCTGCGGGAGGAGAAAAGCCACGCGACCACTTGAACTTGAGCGGGAATATCAATTCTGTGTTGTGTTTCTTTCTTTCTCGCTTCTCGGTAATTCGAACTGACCTCGGCCAGTGGGCAGGCCAAGTGGAGGGCAAGTTCAATGGCATGCGAGGGGCTGCCCGCCTGCCAGGAGGGCGGGCATCGAGATAAGAAACTTTCGATAAGTCCAATTTATTCGATTCCCCTACCATCTGTTATAATGCCAAAGGCGGCCCACACTTAATTAATCAATGCGATATGCGTGTATGGTAAACTAATTATAAATGGGTTGTAAAAATATGGATAGTTTGAAGATATGGTTATGCGGGAGAAGACTATAAAAGTATTATTTTTATAAGCCTGCAGAGGGTATTCTAATTTTGGTCAAAAGGGTGCCACGCAGTGAAAGAGACATCTCCAACCCTATAAGGTATATCGGATGAGAATTGGGGAAGATATAGCCATCACTGTGGGCATAAAGGGGAAAACCCCATTTTCAAGGGATCCCTTTAGGAAAAATGGACAAAAAATCTAAAAAATGTTTTGTCTCAGGATTTTGACGCAGAATGGTGGCGAATCGATCTAGAAATCGTTTAAGGTACTCCGCTTGAAAATCCGATGATAATTGGGGAAGATATAGCCATGACTGTGGGCCATATGGGGGAAACCTCATTTTCAAGGGATCCCATCACGAAAAATGGACAAAAAATCTAAAAAATATATTGTCTCAGGATTTTGATGCAGAATGATGGCGAATCGATCTAGAAATCGATTAAGGTACTCCGCTTGAGAATCGGATAAGAATTGGGCAAGATATAGCCATCACCGTGGGGCATATGGGGGAAACCCCATTTTCAAGGAATCCCATCACGAAAAATGGACAAGAAATCTAAAAAATATTTCGTCGCAGGATTTTGATGCAGAATGGTGACGAATCGATCTAGAAATCATTTAAGGTACTCCGCTTGAGAATCGGATGAGAATTGGGGAAGATATAGCCATGACTGTGGGCCATATGGGGGAACCCTCATTTTCAAGGGATCCCATCACGAAAAATGGACAAAAAATCTAAAAAATATATTGTCTCAGGATTTTGATGCAGAATGATGGCGAATCGATCTAGAAATCGATTAAGGTACTCCGCTTGAGAATCGGATAAGAATTGGGCAAGATATAGCCATCACCGTGGGGCATATGGGGGAAACCCCATTTTCAAGGAATCCCATCACGAAAAATGGACAAGAAATCTAAAAAATATTTCGTCGCAGGATTTTGATGCAGAATGGTGACGAATCGATCTAGAAATCATTTAAGGTACTCCGCTTGAGAATCGGATGAGAATTGGGGAAGATATAGCCATGACTGTGGGCCATATGGGGGAAACCTCATTTTCAAGGGATCCCATCACGAAAAATGGACAAAAAATCTAAAAAATATTTTGTCTCAGGATTTTGATGCAGAATGGTGGCGAATCAATCTAGAAATCGTTTAAGGTACTCCGCTTGAGAATCGGATGAGAATTGGGGAAGATATTGCCATCACTGTGGGTCATATAGGGGGAAACCTCATTTTCAAGGGGTCTCATTTTCAAAAGGATGTCTCGTAGAAACATATTTTCCTTTTATACATATTTTGTATATTTGAAAAATTATATTGTCGAATCTTTTAAAACATTCTGGATGTTTCCGTACTAAAAGTAAATAAAAATTTCAATGATTGACTTCCTTATGGTTATTGTATCATTTCCTAGTCCTCCTTGCCTTAAATGTCATTCCATTTGTCATATTCCGAGTTCGTACTACCCCATTTGTTCAGAAAGGCGTTGTAGTCTGAGCAGAGAGGACTACCTTTTCTCAACAAAAAAAAACATTACACATTTAACACACTACACACTCTACACTTTCTGGGAACACCATGAACCGCATCTTGGAAGAGGTCATCCACGAGAATTCCCCGATCGTGGAAAGGATTATAGCCGAGCACACTGCCGGCTACGTGGTCGCCGACAACATGGCCAACGCCGTGGCCGAGACCTCCTTTGACAACACCAGTGCCCAGGCGATCGTGAAGCACCTCAACGGAACGCTGGTGCCGGCCTGCCAGAGTGTGGTCCGGGACCTGGACCCCACCAACAAGCTCACTTACATGCGTGTGGCTACCCGCAAGTTCGAGTACCTGATAGCCCCCGAGGAGTACTTCACCATCACCGTTGTCCAGTAATCGGAGAAGATCCGCAATAGCTTTGAGACTCTTCACTCGACAAGGTCGTTTATCTTGTGAGGAGGCGTATAGGATTGGATATTTTGACACATTATGCTGCGAAGAGCGAAAATGACTTTTAGCAGCGTATTTATAAAGATTTGCCGCGTTGCGACCGAGATTGCCTAAATCTTTTAGGAAGAATCTCCTAATAGGTTGCCTCATAACACTTTGGGAAGTTGTTTCCTAAATCCTCTAGGCAATTGGATGCCAATGTCGTGGGCAAAGAAATTTTAACTCTGGATTCAAGCTGTCTTGATTGAAAAGAGCTGATGTACAAACCTGATACATATCTGAAAACTACTGAAGATAGAGACTACATATTGATATACAAATATTGGCAATGACTACACTACTCAAATCGGAAGATGTCTTTATTGAAATGAAGCTGATGTATAAACTCGAGATATACAAACCTGATATCATCTGAAAACAAACTGAAGATAAAGACCTAATATTGATGTACATATGTTGGCAATGACTACACTAAAGTATAATATAACAAGATTTTCAGGACTTTTAATTGGAAATGGGGGTAACTGGAAATATTATTAAAATTTCTTAAATAAGATGCTCGATGTTGAACCCTTTTTCGAAAAGCAAACAAATTCGAAAAGTTTGCCTAAATCAACAGGGCTGCCCGAAAATCCTTTATAATTCCCCGGCGACGTTCCGATCCTGATTATTTACGACATGGCTTCATCGGGCCGGGAATCTATTCGGATCTGTGAGAATGCGGCTTTCTAATGCGATAATTCAAAAGATTTACTTCTGTCAACATGACCATTTTGTAGCCGTAGAATGTTTCGGGGTGGAACTGTGGCCTTTGACCTTTTTCTACGTACTTTTTTTTTTTTTGGCCGCTTCCATCTTGCGTCCTCATCCACAATGGATGCTGCCTGCTATTTTAATTTAAAATGGCAGGACTCGTAACTCATTTTTACGACGCACCCTCCGGGCAGATGAATGTATCTGTGAGAGCGCGATTGTGGCGGTGTGTGCGAGTGCCTTGTCCTATTTTTACCGAGAGCCTTGCAGGGGTTGCAACAATAACTTATCTAGCCTTTTTACCCGACTTCAACCCGGATCCATAATCACCGGGAGACGCTCCCGGGGTGCTCTTTGTGCTGCGTTGCTCCGGGGCTATCTTTAAGCAGTTTCCCATTGTCTGGCGTCGTTTTGTGGTGCCTGGGTAAATATGAAAATATAAAAATTTGTACAGAAACTTAATTCAACTCGACTGAAAATGCGGCAACTCTCCGGGGCGAGCACAATGGAGCGACTTCGGGTGCTTCGATGGTGGCAAGGTCGAGGGATACGGCTGCCATGCCACCTCGTCCCCGTATCTGTCAGAATTGCGCACTTCATTTCAGGCAGCGTGAAATGAAATTACTCCACGGTCCATTCCCGGTGACGACTTCATCTTCTGGCGGCCGAGGGGGTCTCAAAGCGATTCGTGCGAAATTATCAATGCCCCTGGAAATTAGAAACACTTTGAATTAAATTCGAATAAAACGTTTTCCAAGCCATCCATTGTACGCTTCCTTTGACGCCAAAGGATGTCCACGACGAAGTTTGAATTTCATATTTATGTTCTTGCCGGACGACTACTGTTTCTATTAAAATATTAAATAGAATCATCATGAGAAGGATTATGAATATTTAACTAAGAAGCTGTGAAAAGAATATAACTTTTATATGGTAGACATTATAGGGTTTCTAGCTAAAAAATAAAAATATAAGGATCTGCCCCATGATTAAGAGACCAAGTTGAGGAAACAAGTCAAAGCCAAGCACGGCGTACAAGTCCTGGCTAAATATGGAAATATTTTAAAAATAAGTAAGCCCATTAAACTAGTATTTAATTCCCATTTGTTGTCAATTTTAGTCAATAAGCTAACTAGGAAAAATACTAAGATATAATAGGAAGAAGCTAAATAAGATAATGTATATTACATTATATTTTTGATGCAAAGGTCAATAAGAAAAATCAACTTCATTTTAGAAAAGCATCATTATTTTTACAAAATAATGACAAGCTTTAATGATGCCTTAATTTAATGACATGCCTATACTACGGGTTTAAAAAATATTTAAATATTAAAAAAGATTCGTTAAATATAAAACTAATTTTTTAAAAACCTCTTCCACTTTCAGTGCCCGACGGCTTTCTTCCCGCAAGGAGAGAGTGAGTGGAGAAATGCGGAGCAGGAGAATTGCAGGAGCATGAGCACCTCGAAAGTTACTCACTCAAATCGAAAAGGCCAAGCCCATTTTCTGCTGGTGATGAAATGTTGGATTTTTTCTGGCTCGCTCAACCACCGCACACATTTCCAGTTTCGACGAGCTGCGGCACAGACGTCGCTTGGCAGCGCGACGGATGAGCGATTTTTGGGCCCAAAGACCTCAGAGCCCCGGATGGAAAAAATTAGCAAAGGTAGAGCAGAAAAGTTAAAAAACTAAATTTGTTTTTAATTTATTGATTCCTACAATTTAAAAAAAATATAAGGATTAATCTTTATGAAACATAAAAAAAGTACTTGCAAAATTTAAATATTAGCAAAAATTTAAAAAACATTTTTTGAAGAAGAGAACTAGAAACAAGAAAATTGTTTTAAATTTAAAGCTTAAAATAAAAATAAATAAATATTAAATTTAATTTTTCTGCTCTACTACGGATGCTACAAAGATTTTCCACTAGATGGCATCTTGTAGATAATTTGCATGCGCCATCTATAGGTACTTTTTTCCAACACAGGTTTGGAAGCTACTGTCAGTTCTAGAGCCACTGTTACTCCTTTGAAGTTTTAGTTACTGTTATTGTAAAACTGTGATTTAAAAAAAAATATATTAAAATTAAAAATTTAATAAATCAAAATATTTTATAAAAATTTGACTCTATAAAATGTTTATTTTGAGGGCTTAGCCATTGATTGTGATTTTTTTCAGCCAACAATATTGGTTTAATTTCTGAAAAATAAATACCCCTCGTCCTATTATCTTCAAGTCCCCTAGTTACCCCTCTGACACGTACTCCCTAGATCACCAGTTTGGGTATTCCAAATTAAATCGAGCATCTTAAAATTAAGCATTCCTTGGCTTTATTTATATTGCCATGTTCTGGACTCTCGACCACTCCGCTTTACGATCGTCTTGGCAACTTGTTAAGGGGTCAACGGAGCATATTGCCAATCAAAGACTTCAATTCAATTTCCCCGACTTCTGCCGGAACGATAATGGCAATGGCGCATAAAGCCAAGTGCGGGTGTTGCAGTTGCAAGTTGCAGGCTGCAAGCTGCAAGCTGAAAGCGGCAAACGATTCCGTTCAAAATCGGAGCAATCAAAGCATCAAGATGTCAGTAAACGCGGTTGAGACAACAAAATTACTTTGAGCATCGTTAGGGCCACGATTCGAGCTGAAAACCGAGGGGAGAGCAGCAGGAAAAACATGAAAATCATCTTTCAACGCGATGCGCTTTCGACAACAACCAGAATGCCAAGGTGGTATGGGTAACTGCTCCACTGCAGTTGGGTTTAGTTGCTCACATGATGGCCAGAATATATAGAAAAGAAATAAAACTACAAGACTGCGGCAAAGACAGCAAGCAAGTGTAGGAAAATAAAACGAAGAAGGCCAGAGAACTGCTTTTTCATTTGGCTGCCGGCAGTGTCCATGGCGAACATCGCAGTGAGGATTTAACTGGTTTTCCTCACAGTGTCAGAAATACTTCCACCATATAAACTAAATCCATAAAAACCCTATCAGAGGGTCCAAATATGAAGACTCTCATTAGTTAAAAATAAAGGAAAAATAAAGGCAAATATTATTATTCATATATCTATATTTCCTTTGCATCACTGCCAGGAAGTCTTTTTCGGATTTCTTTGTTTTCTCCACGACTGCTCCATGCTCCACCACCCACGCCACAGTGACCCTTGCAACTCCTGAAAATCCCGACCCCTGCAGCATTATTCCTCCCCCCTGAAAATCATCTAAACTGATGCAACACCGATACAAATACAGTTCCATACAGCTCCACCATCCTCGTCCCGTCTCTCTCGGTGCTGATGGTGCCATCCTTTTCGCCGTCTCATTGTTCGTCTCCTCGGTTCAGTTTGGTTTGGTTCCGTAAATTACACTTTTGATTTTTAGTGGCCGTAAAATAATCGTAAATGTCGTGGTTATTGCGACCGAAAGTGCCCATTTTGAGTGGCTTCCTCCAGCCCCACCTCCGGCAGCCCCTCTCTAACTGATATTTTCGCTCAGTGCAGCTTGTCGATGTCGGCTGGGACGTGCTGCTACTGCACAAGCAGCCCCGAATACCCTCCAGTGCTGTCAGTACTTTAGGGCTGAAAAGGAATCGGAATAACAGGTTTTTCAAAAAAATATATTTTTGATTAACAGGTTTAGTATAGAATGTTTTTTAAGAGGTTTTTTTTTAACTGAATACTATTAAAAATAGGCTCTAAATAAAAACTTATTCTAAATATTAATAATAACACTTTTAAGAAGACTTCTTTGTTAAATATTATTATTCTTATTCAGTTTGGAGTCTTGTTTTTAATTTGGCTTAAAAGCTGCTGGCTTGGCAGTACTGCCACTCCCCTGCCTTCCTCCTCAACCCCCTTTGGGCCATCTCCCTGAGCAAGCTGCACTTGTTGTTTTTAATAAGTTTCTGGTTGTTAGCTGGCTTTTGTTTTTGCTTTTGCTCCTCTGGCTGGCTTTCTTCCTTTGATGTTTCGATTAAGTTCGGAGTTCGCGTTGCCGAACTGGTTGGTTGGGTTCTCCTTCCTCCCCATTTTAACCCTCTGCGGGCACCCGGCCACCCGGCCGCCCCCTCGACCTCGGTGGGAGCATTTTGGCTTAAGTTTATGGCCATTTCGTTTCACTGTCTCTGCCTTTGGCTTTGCTGCTCGTTGGCTTGATTTTCTTGAGCACTTCACCCATTTACCTTTTGGCTGTTTCTGGGCTTGTGCTGCAAATTTTCTCACATCCCAGGTCTGACGCAACT